TGGCGTAAACTGAAACAGGAGGCAGGGTTTCACAGAGGAGATAGAGGTCTCACAATAACTCCTGCATCATCTGCAGGACCAACAGAGCATTATCAATAGATGTAAGATGAAACTATCAGAGTGTTGTGTATTGCGATACAGTTTTTTGCCTTAGGCATAGCATCGGTTTACAACTTCATTGCTTGTAATACATGGGTTAAGCTGTTTTTAATATTGCAGCCATGTATTTACAGTATCGATTTCAGCTTAGCATTGCATCACTAAGTCCAGTGTTCAATAAAGCAGATAACTTTTGATGGTGATTAGGTCAGTGTTCCGAGCCTATAGAAAACATATGTTTGTCTTGATAAGATCTCCTCAGATTTGGTACGCCGTGACCACGTACGTCGATGGCGACAATGTTTTGGCTGGAGGCTGTTTAACAGGCTCACTATGGAATAGGATTTCTATTCACGCTTAACTCTCAAACGCTTTGGCCCTCAAGTTCACATTAGCTTTGCCCGCTTCATTCACCACAGCACGCTTGCATGAGCCTAAAGGCACTGGGACTTTGAAGCAATAGAGCTGAAGTAATATTGTGAATACCCCAAACGCACTTGATGTTCAGTCTCCTGCACATCTGTGATTGTGTGCAGGGTTGTGATCAGTGAATTATCTCACGGCACTGGGAATCAGGCGGAATTGCAGATGCTTCTAGTTGGGATGATGACACTCTGGCTGTCAGCAGCCATGTCTCACAGTAAACAAGTGCCCCTCAGTTTTGGGAACCAAATGTCTGCACGAATAATATTAGGTTCGGATTAGACCAGTGATAATGAGCAAATATTTGATTAACTGGATTAATTTGAGACACAAATGTCCTCACAAAGAAATATTTATTCAGTTTAACAGTTTAAGCCACATTCTCCGTCTTGCAAATGAGTCTGTTAAACGATGTCTTCACATTATATCAAACACAACTGCTTCAACCAAAGCCTAAGTTTCAAAATATATATAATAATGCCTTGTAGAAAGTCAGCAAGAGTCTGAGTTTGTCGTCTGTGCAAAACACATTCCATTATACATAAATAATAATACAATATAAATAAACAATATATTAATAATATATAATTGTTCACATTTGTGTTTTATGTGTAGATTATGGAAATTAATGATGAAGTGTGAATTGTTCCTCTAAAATGGACAAAATAAGTGCAGTTAATCATATTTCAAATGTTTTGATATTTAATGATACACATTTATTGAACAAACAGTGGAGAAAAATAGTAACAAATTAACAATCTGGATAAAACAGACAGTCTTAGGATTTTTTAAACATCAATTGGAATTGAATGTGAAAATGATAAATAAAAATCTCATAAGAAATTTATCATGATAAACGACAAATGATAAACCATACAATATATTCTCGCCCCTGTTCTGAATGTAATTTTTTTTTCACTTAAACAAATTGAAACTTACAAGTTTGTAGATAGATAGATAGATAGATAGATAGATAGATAGATAGATAGATAGATAGATAGATAGATAGACAATTTTAGCAGAACAGTATCATAAAATCTAACCGTAGTACTGAAGAATTCCTTTTGTGATATACTGATTAAACTGAAATAATAAAAAACAACACAAGAATGTAAATACTTGTAATATTTTGCTTTGTACTTTTGTCTTTAGCTTTACCTTTTTTTTTTTTTTAAGAAAAAAAAAAATTATGTTAAGGAAGAGTTCACAGCTTTCCAAACACCTTTGATCAATTCAGGTCCGTTGTAATGTTTTAATATCATGGCACAGAGCTATGCTGCATACTAGCCTACCCCTTGTTTGGGTGATGCCATGCACAGCTATTTTTGTCTTTTTCCAACTTTGTGCACACCTTCCTGATAGCGTGGGACGCAGGACCTTTCTACCACCCACAGAGGCATTGCTCTCTCATCCTAGGATGGAGAAGAAAAGCAGGTAAACAGCATGGTAGATGCAGAGTGCTTGTTGTGGCAACAAGAGGAAGAAATATTGCTAAATGGCGGTGTGTACACAGCGGGCTGGATCACACGTTTGACACGGTTCCCTCTTGGCGCTCCCAGCATTTTTTCCCTTGAAATGCACATTATGTTTGGTGTAAGATATGGAATCTTTTCGTGCCAGAGGGGTCAAGTTGAAGTGGAGGTATGAGGCGTTGGTATTAGTGTCAGATTCAAGTCCAAGCTCTTTCATATTTCATATCTATTATTTCATCAAGCCAAGTCGAAAGTCATTAAAATTTGTGTTTCGAGTCTGACTCAAGGCACATGACTTGAATCCACACCTGTGAAAATTACCATTTCCTCATTTACATACCTCACAAATGACCACAACACATTTGTGGTCATTAAATAATAGACTCTGCTCTATCATTACTATTATACAAACTTGTATGAAACGACTATTGTGTTTATAGTGAAATCAAATGAGCAAACATGTTGTATATTTTATATACGTTACAACCACCTCTCTGTCTGATTCCACCGCTCAAGAGGAAGAAAATGTTATCCAACTTCCCTTCTAGGTCTTCTTGTATAGACAGTTCTAGCTATTGCGTAATACAGCCTTGCATCACACAGCTATGGTAAATGTAGGTGGATTGTTTCTGTCCCATGTGCGTAAACCTGAGGTAGGATTCAAAACTGCACTTGTTTACGAAGTTGGAACGAAAAAATAAAATGATTTCTACTGAACAAAACACAGATATGTGTGCAATACTTAGAAGAGTGAACGATAAAATGTTTTGAAGTCAATTAAGCTTTATGAAAAAGACATATGCTGAAACGGAAAATTGAAATGGACCATTTTTGATCAGTGTTGTGCATTTGAAAGGTAGGGATACAAACATGTTGTTTTTTTGTTTTTTTTAATTCAAGAAGTCCAAAAGGCCAAAATCCACTTGTGATGGGATGATGTAATACCACTTTCAGAATCCACTGCTGATTTTCTGCAAGACGTTAAAAACAGATTTTTACAGCTGAATGTTAATATTATGAGACTCGCAGGGCTTTGCTTTAAGCAGCAGTGTGTAATATTAGACAGCTACAACAGGAGCTGCTGAATATCGTTGATGAGTAATCACTAACAAGCCTCCAATAAGTTTGCATGAAAAGATGTTTGTGTTGACTAATTTTAAAGACAGGGTTTGCTAACTGTATTAATTTCCTTTTGTGTATATGAAGGGCGGTTTGACGCAGGGGTTTAATGGAATAAATGTTTCTTCACAGGGGGAGCATTTATTCCAAATTCATCATGGTGTGATTTGGAGCAGACATAAACACTCAGATGAAACAACCAGCACATGCAAAACAGGATGTTTTGTTTTCAATTTGTTCTTTAAAATGGACACGACTGAACAGTTTAACCCGAAATATTTCAATGGATATGCAAAATTCCTAATGTATAATTTAAAGACTTTTGCATGAGTTTTAATTTGCCTTTGTTGCATCAAAGAAAGTTAAATGTTTTCCTGTGGACATGTTCTGTGATAATGTAGTACTCACAGGGAGTACTGACTATCTTAATCCTTCATCTTTTGTAGCTAGAAGCCAAGCTTAAGATGTGAACTGAAAAAAAGCAAGTAGCATAAAAGGTGATGTGAGGAAAAATCCGTTTCTGCAGTTACTTTGTTTTTCTGAGAACCTTGTTTCTTTACTTTAATATCACAAAACGAAACTTTTTATCTTTACACAATAGGTAAGCCTTAACCTGTAACACTCCAATGCAAAGTTATTCATACTTTTTCATATTTTGTGTTGTTACAAAAGCAAGGTTTTGCAGGCTTATGGCATTCAGCCCTTATCTTTGCAGCTGTAAATCTTTTAGGGCGTCTCTTTACCTGCACATTCAGAAAGTAAAATTGCTTTGTCTATTATTTTGTTTAATTTCTTCTTGAAATCCCTCTATTTGGTTCACTTCATCTTACCATCAACTTTGACCGGCTTCTCTAGTTCTACTGAAGACGAGCAACCCCACATCCTGATGCTGCCAGCACCATGTTTCACCACAGAGATGAAGTGTTCAGGGAGATGTGGGGAGTTAATTTTATACCGAACAAAGTATTTGCAGCTCAAAAGTTCCATTTTGGTTTCATCTACCAGAGCACCTTCTCTCATGTATTTTTTTTGTGTGTGTGTGTGTGTGTGTGTGTGTTCTATATGACCTGTGGAAAACTGCTAGTAGGACTTCTTAAAGCTTTCTTTCAATAAATTGCTTTTTTCTTGCCAATTTAGTTTAAATACCAATTTGTGGAGCTTACAGCTAACAGTTGACTTACTGACAGCTTCTCCCACCTGAGCTGTGGATCTTTGGTGCTCACAAAACATCTTTCCAGATAGTTTTTTTTTTTTTTTTTTTTTTGGTAATTCGTGTTTCTTTGCATGGGCCTTTTACATAAAATTTCGATAAAATACATTAATTAGCTTGCGTTGGGCACTGTTTGTAGAATTAAAAGGCACACTGAAGAACAAATCTGAACGAATAATGGACTCGGGTGCTAATATAGTTTAGCACTGTGCCATAACTGCATGACAAATATGCTTCCAGGTTTTTTCTTAGCTTTTATGTCAAAATGAATTGAGGCTTTCAGGATTAAATATTTTGTAATTCATATAAAACTCACACAGCAAATAACTTTTAATTATTTTTCAAATTAGCCTGGAAAGTGCTTGCAAACATCACGTGCAGAAAAATAAAAATCAATTAGGCTCATTATTCAGGGAGCTGGCTCTGTAATGCAATAAATGTTGTTTCGATGGGGCTGTTATGTTTACAGTAATGTTTGCTTTGTAATCTAAAAATAGCACAAATAATGTTGGAAATATTATTGATTTCATGGAACGGCGCCAAGCACATAATTGAATCAGAGCCACATTGTTTCACTTCGGAGCCACAGAGCAATTCAGTGCTGCTTTCTTTGCACAGCGAAGACGTTCATTTATATGATTCCAGAAGCTTAAAAGTTTCTTGTGTTTCTCTGGCAGGGATGACCTGCCAGGCAAGGACGTCGTACACGGAGGACGAGGTTCTCTGGGGACACCGGTTCTTTCCTGTCATCTCCTTGGAGGAGGGCTTCTTCAAGGTGGACTACTCTCAGTTTCATGCCACGTTCGAGGTGCCTACTCCTCCTTACAGCGTGAAAGAGCAGGAGGAGGCCCTCCTTCTGTCCTCGCCCCTCATGGCGCCCTCCCTGTGCAACAGTGGGGAGAAAAACAGCTCCCTGGACTGCCTGGAGACACTGGAGGACAATGACAGCACCACCAAGCTGCCTACCAAGCTGCAGAAGATCACGGGCCGGGACGGTCTGCCCAAGAAGCTGCTGAGGATGAGCTCCACCACCTCAGAGATGACTTACAGCTTCGGAGACCTGCCCATGAAGCTGCAGCGAATCAGTTCAGTCCCCGGCGTCTCTGATGACAAACAGGCTGGGAAGGCCTCCAAGATCAGCACAGAGCCCATCAGTAAGTCGGTGGCGGACTTGCCCCCGAAGCTGCAGCGACTAGCTGGGGGAGGAGGCGGGAGGATGGACGGACACTTGCCACCTAAACTTAGGAAAATGAACTCGGATCGCTTTACATAAGAGCACACAACCAATTTTAACTCCTGCTATCTCCTTTTTTTTTTTTTTTCTGAACCTGAAATCCTTGTACTATTCCGTATTTATTAACGGACAATATTCTTATATTAAAGGAGCTGTAGAATACGTGCACAAATACCTTATATAAAGTAGGGGGATGGAAATGAGCACATTTGTCCCTGGATGTAAGTGTTCTTGCTCTAATGAAAGACCTCAGATTTATTTATTTTTCTTTCTCTTTTTTTTCCTCTTTTTTTTTCTTTTTTAGGATGATGTACAATTAGCACAATCTGGCATGTAAGAAGCGACGCATGTAGAACCGAATCTCAGTTTCTGGCATGACAATTTGTTGATTTCACAAAACAAAAAGACCAAAAAAAAAACAAAAAAACAATTTCATTAGTGAATTTACAGACAGTGGACAATTGCACAAAGCCATATGATTTACACCACTGAAAACTTACATTACACTGGTTCTAATCTGTAGTGAAGAAAGGCACATGTTTGTTTTGAGTTGATTGCTTTTGTTGTTTACTGTAAAATTGTGGCAATGTTACGTTGGTTGCATGCTCCTCTTACTGACTTAGCTATACAAAGGTAATAGACAAAGATGTTTAGCCTTAACTATATTACCTTGTTCCCATTTCCATGTTTGTTCACAGCTGTATTTTTTGGTATTTCATATACAGACTATTTTACCATGTGCGCTTTAAAGATTTTATCTGATTGAATACAGAAAGTGCTACTAGATGATGCATACTATATTTACAAATGCGTTATTAGCGTCAGTAAAACTGGGCACAACGATACGCAATTTTCACTTGCTTATTAATGTAACACTTAAGTTGAAATACTCTATAGCTGTAACCGATAAGCACAAAACAATCATATAAATCCTTAAGATGTTAGAAAGCCTTTCTTATCTCATTATATACCAAAATGCAATCTTCAGTAAGCCAGTGCCGCTTTAACAAGGGCACCACTAGATTTTCAACTTACGTGTTACTGGTTAGATTTGGTGGGCCTGTAAAAAAAAAAAAAAAAAAATTGAAATAATCTTTGTTTTAAGGGACCATAATATTCCTCCTTTGTGATGAAAGCAATAATATTATAAAAACTACAACCTACAGCCACAGGGTCTACCACACCCCCTATGATTGTTTTGTTTACTTGATCTGTGCCATGAAATCTGATTTTCTCTAAATGCATCAAAGACATTGTATGATAACTGATCTATTCAGGAATAAAGATCTAACGTAACTATTTAGTATCTTGGTACTTGGTGGATTATATTTGGTGCGTTGCACGTTTTATGAACGCCTTACTGCCGGCTGATTACAAGAGGTAATAATCAGAAATTCAAAAAATATACATATTCATGTACTTATATGACCTGTTTGCAGCTCACAGCATTTATTTATTTATTTATTTTTTTGTGGTCTCTAACAGATTTTCTTCCAGGATTTAGCTCCATCCATCTTCCCATACACTCAGACCAGCTTTCATGTCCCTCCTGAAGGAAAAAAGACACAGAACAATGCGGCCACTATGCCCGTTAAACACTCCATGTGTTCAAGGTTATACGCATTACTATTTTTCAGTCACAAATCCATTACCAAAATGCAAAAACCTCTTATCTGCAGCATTGTCTGATTGGTGGATATAACTTGGAGGACCAAGTTATAATTGCACTCTGCTTCAGTCTTATCCATGAAAATCCCTCTCATTGTTGGGACAAAATAGTCACCTGATTAAAAAACTACTATCAGGCTTACTGGGAAGACGTTGGAGCAAAATAAGAACCATTTTTCTGATAGAAAATCTTGCAATTTGATCATCAATTTAGCATTGTACAAGTAGCCCTAAAAGTTTTTTTTTTTTTTTTATTCATCTCTCACCTAACTCTTCTTGTTAGCTGCTTCTCCAATTAATACTCTCAATACCCTGTGTTTCAAGTTTGGTGGACAGGGATGTCGTCACTGGTTTGCTGTCGTGTAAACGGTTTACATTTTTTAATAACAGACTAAACAGTGCTCTTTATGATGTTTAAAGATTAGGACTTTGTTTTAAAACCTAACCCTGCCGGAAACTTCTCCACAACTTTATCTCTAACATGTCTTCACGACACTGTTTATTCACTAATATTTTCTGAACCCTTCACAATCAGCTGGATTTATGGGATTGAACTGCAACTAAGTGGACTGTCTTTTACGAATAGGTGATTTATCTGTTTATTTCATTTACAGTTCGAAGTGAACATGCCACATGTCAGCACAAAGAAAGTTCTGAATGAAAAGGAGTAGTCTGAAGAAAGAAAATCTTAATCTATTTTTGAAGCAGCTGGTTGGACTGTATTTATTTTGGAGTATCAGAGTAACAGAAGTTAAACACAAATGCAGACTTTTCATAATTTTATTTGTACCATAATTTCCGGACTATAAGCAGCTACTTTTCCCACACACTTTGAATACTGTTTGGCTTTGTAACAACGTGTTTCAAAAAGATGGACTGCTGCGTGATGAAGAGGACAGCACAAGCTCAAGAGAAAGACAAAAGTGACATTGGCATGACAATGAAAGAGAGACTGAGGAAGTGTGTGTGTGTGTGTGTGTGTGTGTTTGTGTTTGTGTATGAGGCCAGGGATGTTATTGGAGGGCATGCACAAAAACCATCACTGCACCTCACCCACACAAATACAACCACATCCCTAACTCGCATAATGTGCGTGGCATACAAAACCCACACAATGCACCCGACCCACACAAATACAGGCCACATGTGCGCAGTGCAAATGGCACACAAAAAACAGCAGTGTGGCACCGAGTACAAGACAGTCAGTTCCTGCCCCACACAAACAGGCCACGTGAGCGCGATGCGCGTGCCGCTCAAAAGCAGCGCATCTGACCCACACGTACATACATCCCCACATAGACTATTTGATACAAATTACACCAAATAATAAAAATGGAAAACAAAGCCTACCTATTTTAAGTACGGTAAACTGTCTTCCTGCCAGTTCCCAGGGTCAGTCTTCCGTCTGTGACATCCAGAGGAGGAGTAGGTGAAGTGATGACATGTCTGTTTACTCATCTTTAGATAGCTTCACCATAAAGCCACATTTAGCTAATGGAAGAAGCTCCAGCTGCAAAGTAAACAATAGCAAATTAACCAATAAATGTTTTGCATGGGATGTGTGTGCATTTCCTTGGAGACGCACACAGTTTTACATACAGGATATGAACATTTTAATTTTTGGACAAGTTCAGGAGAATGTTTGGGAAAGCAGGAAATTAAATATGGATCAAGAGCATGCAGTGGAAGGCTCCTCTGGAGCAGCAGGCATTGATCCTGATCCTCAGATCCTGTTTTAGACATTCATCTGCTTCAGTGCAGCCAAATAAATGATTGATTGTACAACTTAATGACAAGCAGAAGAAGCTATTCATTCATTAATTCTGGGCATTTTAAAGCAGAAAACAGGCAGGTCAGTCCCCAGCAATAGGGTCCCTTAGAGATCCTAATAGGAGGGACGTGATGCAAAAATGAAGTTGTAGAAACTTCTATGTTCTTTACATCACAACAGAGTAGTCCGTCTTATGTTCATACCAGTATCCCATATAGCCCAATATGACCACAGCATCAACAAGTGAGGTGCAGCCCACAGACGATACACAATCCAAGCTATAAACACGATTGCACACTGGCTCATGTTAAATGCTTCAAAAATGTAACTGCTGTATTTGCACATTTTATCACCCAGCTATGTTCGAGAGATTTTGGCATAGGGTGCTGCAGGGAAAATCTCTTTAAGAAGTCTGGAATGCAGACATTTGCATTCAGAACATACAGTGGCTGCAAACCCCGAGGAGCATTTCTAGAAAACTCCACGACTACAGTGAATGTGTGGAAACCACCTCCGTTTGCAAGATTGAATGGCCTGATAATGTTCAAGTGTATTTATCTATGAACAAATAGAGCACGCTTTAGGCTGGATGGAGAAGGCAGTTATGATTTTCTTTTCCTTTTTCTACTTTTTCTTCTACTTGCTGTTTCCTTTTGCTTTCCCTAATATTAAAAAAAATAGTTATTTAGGTTTAGAACAGCAGTTGCTACTCAGACATATTCAGGACTGTTCTTTCACTTAAAGAGCACTGCTTCTCAGTGTTACCTCGATGAACTGAAACTGATGGCCTTCTAAGTGGATTTCTAACACTTTAGGCTGCAGCAGATTGAGAATGGGCTGTGATTACAGTTTTGGCTTTTAATCTCAAGCCTTCTTTCTTGAAGAAAGGGAAGCCAGGGGTCCAATGCCCTCTGCAACATGCGTTAAGTAAACACATGTTGCAGAGGGCAACATGCTGGAGGTAATTTAAAAAATGTACAGAGCATGAAATTATAAAGGATAGCATCTCAGAACTCCTCACGTTGAGTTGCAACTTGGCTGCTGAACCTTTTTAGGGAAAAACTACTGCTGAACTAATGCTAACTGAAAAAGAGAAAATGTAGATTAAAGTAGCTCTTCTTTCTTTTGAATAGTTTTTTTTTTCTCACTAAATTAGCGAAAAGCCTTGCACCTTTTAATTGCAACTTACATGATATTTTCTGTGATAGTATTTGAAAAACAAATGTGTTTTTAATAACTAAAGTGAATTGATAAATACTCCTTCAACACCTAAATTTTGAATAACCTCTTAAATTGAAAACTGGCAACAGCAGAGATTTGAATGGAAATACTCAGTGAATAAAACATAAGAGTTTGTTCTTTGGGATTAGTATTGAACAACACGAACAGGAAAATTAAATTCTTCTTGCAGCAGAAGCACAACCCAAAATGTATTGGGGGGGCATGTCGTGCTGTGTTCCTCTCAATTTTGCAACATTCTGCGCAGAGTACTGCTTACTCACCAAACAGGAAGAGCAACAAGGTAAAATCTCAAAGTAAATCACTGTAGCCAGTTACATTAGGAATCCACTTCCTCTTTTAGCTCTTCTTCTGTATCTGGTTGTCAGATTTTATCTGCACTTCCATCTATTATTTAAAATTTTAGCTGCAGCACCTCAAGCAAAGGTATAAAAGCAGAGGCGAGACACCTGCTGTGTGAAAGTACAGAAAGATGCTTAACAGATTAAACGTCAATTTGGCTAAGAGATATTCTGAAATAGGCAGACTTGGAGTAGGAACTTAAGGCTTCTCAACATTTTTTTTTAATCTTTATAGCGCTCCTCTACTTTCTTAAAAATCACAATTTGCTTGTTCAAATGTAAATATGGGTATTAGCCTTACTGACTACTTCAGGGTACTTTGTTATTTAAAACATGCAACTTTTAAGCCATTCTTGCTTCCTACCAAACTAATGGACCACACATTACTGACATAGGTCTATAAATACGGATGTTTTACTAATTTAAAAATACACTGAACAGTTGTACAATGTTACACTGATATTTTTGTAGGTGAAATAATTGTTGATGGACAGTCAACAAATCAAATTAAATCTAAATTGATGACTGGGACATTAATGATGTATGTAGTAGAAACATTCTTCTGCAAGTAGTTACTTTGAGCTTATTATACATGTGTGAAAACTTACAAAAATATTTCAATAGTGCACTGTAGATAAAGAATTATGTTTTTAAATTGATATCATTTAGCTATAAGTTCAAAGCAACCTGGGGTGGGGGGTCATTCTTACTTATTTGTTGTTTTACTTGGCAACACACATTGCCTGCAAACAAATTTGATCTGTTTCTAAATTTAGATAAAACTGAGTCAGACAAACAATAACACATCGACGCAAAGGCAGTGTCACCTCTTCAGGCACTTCGATTGTTTTAATCATACTCTTGTGTAATCAGTGCTGCACTTTATTTTCACAGCACACCATTTGTTGCTGTTAACTATGCATGTATAATAATGTGTATTTGAAGAGAGCCCCTAAAGAACTTCTGGTGATAAAAGTCAGTGCCATTATTGTACTTATCAGAAGCAGATAGGTTAATTGTGTCTTTATCCTCAGATAACCCTCCCCTCCTTAATAAACCCATTGGACGGATCGACGTATCAAAACTGCTGATGGCATTATCCTCAGTCTTTTCGGCGATGGGGTTCAAATCTTTTTAGGCCACCTTAAATCAGCAATTGTTCTGCTGGAAAACAATTGCCCTTTATCACCAAGGAGATCTGTGCTCTGGATGTCACTTTTTTTGTGGGTGTGTGGGTGGTGGTGGTGGGGTTGTCTTTTGTCTGAGCCTATCCTCCGAAATAGCATTTAAAAGCTCAAATAATTGGCGGAGACAGAGACGGAAGAAGTGGGAGGGCTTAGTGGGGAAGAGAAGACAGGACTGTTCATGGTTTAGAACCTTTTTAAAAAAAAAAAAAAAACCTCAAAAATAATTACTACTTGGAGCGATGTCTTGATAATTTACTGTTTCTGTTTTATCCGACATGACAACAACTTAAGTAAAGTCATCAAGTGGTAATTATGGGACAAAGAAACAAATGTGCTCAAAAATGGCAGCATTTCCATTGTCTCTTTACTGGTTTTATTGAATTTAAACACTTCTATAATCACATCAATTATGATTAACATACTTTACAACCAAGTTGAAGGTGGCTCACTGACTAGATGGCACTTCTTGAACCACATCAGTGCCAGTGTCAAGATGAGATAATATATGAGGCATCACATATGGAGATTTGTGCAACAAAAAGACTGAGCTGCGGGTGTCTTTTTGCACTGCATGACAAATGTCTTCTTAGCGTCATAACAGCTAGTCTTTTTGCCTTTGATGTCTGGTGACATGCTTTATTTAAACTGCAACAAAAATACAGCATGAAGAAAATAAAGTGGAAATAGAGCAGGTGAAAACAATAACATATATACAATTTTGACTTTTGCAGCAAGAAACTTTTTTTTAATGGGACACATTATTTAGCAGGACTGTTGTTTTTTTTTTTTTTTTTCAAATATGGCTAATTTCCAATAATTGTGCTGCCTCGATGAGCACAGAAATTGCATTCCAGCAGTTGGTTGTTGAGAACTAATATGAGGACTGAGACCTTATTTACCAATTATTTTCATCAGAACAAATGGGGTTGCAGCATTCATTTTAAGCAAAATTGAATTTATTTCTATAATTTGCTCACGTGAATGATGCAAAACAGTATTAGCAGAAATCCAAGTCTCTCTTTAACAGCATCATACTATGCTACTTAATATGTTGTGCAAAAATAATGCATCTACTAAAAGAGGAAAAAAAGGAAACTTTTTACAGGACTTACAGCCTCCTTTCTGAAATATTTATCAAATTTAAAGATTACTTTTAATGAACTATGGATGACTTAACATCCATAGTTATCCATAGATTTTTGAGAAAAGTTTGCGAAACATTTTCTCAAAAGAAGAACTTACCCAGTAAGTTCTGAAAATATGTGAGTAGCCTTCATGTTGGAAGATTAGGAGAGTTCAGAATGGGAAATTGCTGTGCATGTATGCTGTTGAACACGCCTTTTTACAGTGACACTCAACCTGCTGTTTTCTAACTAAGAAAAATGGTTTTAAATTTGCTTTGACAAAACCTAATGGGTTAATTTGACACTTTTAACAATTTTGTCATACTAAAGATGTAGGATGTTGTCTCTGGTTTGTCTCATGACAAATTCCCCTTCCTGTGAACGTGACTAAATGGCTTAAGCTCCTTTTATTTCTCTGGGTTTAATCAAGCTTTAAAATGAAGGCCTCGATAATTAACCTGCATGTCAGTGTAACCACAATGGAAAATATAAAAAGCAATGTTTTCAACTGAAAGTCTAATTAATATTTTTACACACTGAGTCAGTCATATTATTCAGATTAGTCTAAATGCATCTAACCAAATTGAGAGGCGGGAGAGAGAGGAAGAGGGGAAAGTTTTCAAGGCCAGAGTAGTGATTTCCAATTAATCTTTATTCTTGCAACTCCTGATTCATGAGCTCTAGGTGGGATTTAACGAGGTTTAGTTTGGGTCAGGAAGCTTAGTGCTCAGTCAAGCTCAAGGTGATGCAGGTAACAACTCCGTAAAATAAATACTAGCCCTCTGTTGCTGCTTAATCCCGCTAAAAAAGAAAAAAAAGAGAAAAGAATAAGCACTTATGTAGAAGGTAGCTTCTTACTTCGTGACTGAAATGTTGCTTCAATCAAGAAATCATTCATCACTTTTATGTAAGTCCCATTTGCTTTAAACTAAACAAGCTAAAGGATTTCTGTCTTTTTACTAAATTAAAACCACATTATTTATTAACCAATTTACCAGAATTTCCTCTTGAACTTTATCGTCCATCATGAATCCCCAAAGATCAGTCCCTTCCAGCGGTAGACTAAGGCGAACAAAAGACAAAACTGACAGAGAGATGAGAGAAGTGCATTACAGACAGAAAAGGAGACCCAAATTGGTGCGTGGGATGAATAATACATTTTGTTCAATCCTTCTAGTCCTGTAAGTTAGCAAAATGACAGTGATCAAAGTTGAGTCTGGGAGGATTGGTATTAAAGTAGAGATTAAAAATGGCTGGGAGAGTGTAAAGGAGAACACCAGAGGGGGGGATAGAGGATATTTCTGTCTCTTGTCAGATTCTGTCATGACTTGTTTTACATTTGCACTTTGCCTCCTTATCCTAACGCTGCTCTCCTTGCAAATCAAATAGGTTTGATAATTTGATGTGGAAACAGCTGCCACAGCCCGGCGCGGCGACTGCAGAGTCGGTACGCAGTGTCGCCCTTTGTTTTATTCCATGAAGGCGCTTAAAATGAATGTGGCGAAAGATGGGTTGAGGGAAAAAGTGATGGCAAAAAAATTATTATTTTTAAACATATCCTCATGCTCGCAGATGCACAAACACATCCTCTGCATAACCGTCCACACATAGCCACAACAGATGCCTCGTCTCTGGTGTATTGTATTTGTAAGATAACGGGCCGGTGTGGGTGTTTGCAAAACAACTCAGTTTGCACCTGAGTCAAAATCTATCTCTGCTTTAGTCGCCAACAGCGCGGGGAAAAAGGAGCTGAGTAGGACACATCACACCAAGCCCACTCTCTTTGA